AATATTTGTCATTCTTTCCTGATAAAAAATAGAATACAAATTCCGTTAATATTTCTCTGACCTTTGTAGCATTTAATTTTGATAGTATTGTATACTTGGAGCTCCCTGGGTTATCCTACCAAAGGGTATTGGCGAACCGGGACCGCAGAAAAATCTTTCGGGAGCCACTTAAGCGATGAGTGAAGTGAGTCGCTGGCTTTTCGGTCCTGTAACCCGACTGCCACGCTCACCTTTTGCTAGGCCCACGGATCAGGAATATGGTATGGTGGTACCTATGTCTGAACCCGAGAACGGGGCCACTTGGAAATTGCTTTGAAGGGCTGCTGATGCTGATGCTGCCGTGCCATTTCTCCTTTCTTATCTCACTAAAATAGGCATTGTTGATGGCCGGTTGATGTGTGTGTGTGTGTGAGTGTGTGTGTGTGTGGGCCAGGTCCTTTCTTTTGATTTTTGCCATGCACGCATGAAAATTGTTTTCCTTTTGTTCTGGGTCGGAGGACTCAGGACGAGCAACAACAAAAGCCAAAGGTTGTTGGCAGCGCCAGGAAACTGTGCTATGGATTATGATGCTGCCAACAGTTAAGTGCGTTCTTTGGTCCCAATCCAAAGGGGAAAGGGCTGCGAAAAGGCCCTATATTGACAACGCTCGGCAAAGGTGCTCTTCCAGGTATTAAGGCTTTAACCAGGCAAATGCAGGTGAATCCAGCTGGGTCTGTGGCTGAAGAGGCGTGATTGAAAACCCAATAGCCAGGGAAGCGGAAGAAACATGGAGGGATAGGCGGAAACCATGACAGTAGTTGGCTTTGTCAAAGAATCTTGTTCGGTGGTCGCAAAGTGCAAGTAAAAGTGTTTACTTAACCCTTAAAGAATTGAAAGATATGTATTCTTTGAAAGCATATAATCTTTGTTTTTAAACAAAGCTTCATTCAGCATAAGTGATATGTTTTAAAAACCATTGAATGGCTATCTGTGTGTATTTACCAGAAAATCTTCCAAAAACTTATTTTTTAACATTGCGTATGAGTAATATGTTTATTTACCAAAACAATTTCAAAAAACCAAATATAAAATTCCTTGTATAATCCCTACATACTCAATATATTGGGTTCGTTCATCTAAAAATCATAGCAAAACACCCAAAAGCCGCAAAGTAAATTTAGCAAATCGCTCTGCGAATACGTATTTATTTAATCAGGCTCAAATGGCGCTTATTCTGGCTGGGGAAATGGAGCTGCTTACTTAGCATCATTATGGGCAACGATTTATGCATAAGTAGCGAATAAGGAGCATTACAATTTGGCTAACTCTCAGAGCACCCACGTATGTGCATGGGCATCCTGCTTATGCGAATGTGAATGAATCTAGCCACGGAGACAAACGGCAGCCACTTAAAACTGTCACAAGTTAAAAACCGCAAACTGCAGTCGCAACAAGGATTGCACCTCCCAAGGGGTTCGAATGAAAAGGTGTAGGAAAAGGGGGAAAATGGGGGAAAACGGATGGAAAACCCGGAATGAGGAGCACGTAGAGAGCAAAGAGAGACATTATGCGACGGCATGGAAACACACAACAATTTCACAGACAATGAATACATTGGCAAAATGAGCGGGTGGGCAAAGGACCTCCTAGACACGAGGACAAAGGAATTTAAATAAATGCATGTGCACGAGTCGGGACACAGAAAAAAATCACAACAATTGGTTGCACACTGAAGGAAAAAATCAAAACAATTGCCAGACAACTACACTGCAAAACCCATATGATATCCCATAACCATATGAATATTCTATTTCTAGGATATTAGTTGTTTGTTCAATAATTGGTTTTGAAATATAAGCTTTATATAAACTTTTATGTACGTATAATATTCTAAAAATTGGATTGAGATACGATTTTTTTGTTTGACAGAAGTTTTAGCCAATTCGAGATCATGTCGGCTTGGACTTCAAGAAGTCAAAGTCTCGACAGTGTGCCAACACACAAAAAAAGAGGGTTACCAGAGTGATAAACTTGGGTATATGTTTTAATAAAATGTTTTTTTGAGACCTATTAAAAAATGGATCTTAAAAAGAAAGTTGTAAGATATTATAAACCAGATCGACATTACATTACTAAAATTGTTTACCACTTTTTCAAGAAACATCAAGTGAACACAGATATATGATGATTTTGATATAAGTTTTTCTCTATGTACATAAGGGGTATAACTGATTGAGGGAAAAGGGTAGTGGGCTTGGATGAAAGAAGTGGGATGGTGTAACAGCCACTCGAGGACAACGGCGAGCGATGACTTTGCATTTTGCATTACATTTTCTTTTTGCAACTTTCGAGATTCTCTCCAGGCGAAAGCAGTTTGAAAATTATTGCGGATCCTGCAACTGGAGTCAGCAGCTTCTTCTTCTCTTTCTTATTCTTCTCTTAGCCACATTTCAATGTTGCGTGTTGGAGTTATTTTAAGCCAACGTTGTTGTTCTGCGTGTTGTTGGTGCTTACACACGCAAATGTCTTATTTATGCTCAGCACTTTTTGTCCACCACCCACAACTTTTCCCCCATTTTCCACCCAGCGACAACTTCTTGCGGCTGAATGTCGTCGACATTGCTCTCTGCTTCTGGCTACCACTTTTCCTCACTTTCCACGCTTCTTTCACTATGCAGCCGGAGTTTTCCCTTGGCCCCATCTTTGTGGTTCCCTGCCAAATGTCGCCTTTAACATAAGCTATAGCAGAAAATAAAAAACAGTAAAAACTTTTAGGATGATCATTTTTTAGGGCTTAAACTTAAAATAAAGAGGGTTTGCCAAGATCATATTTAAAAAAAAAATTAAATATAGCAGTGATAAATTCTAAAAGAGTTATTTTGCTTTTAACTGGCGTTCTGCTGTTAAAAAAAAGGGATTTAGGTAAATAATCTAGACCATAACTAAAGCCAACTTAAATTAAATGACCGAATAAAAGTTGCTTAAATTACGACTAACTAACTGGATTTACTTAAATATGTCATGTCTTCATAAAGAAAAAGACTTGTGAATTATTATTATACAGATATGCTTTTGGTTTCAAAGACTTTTTTAAATGTTATTAATATTTTATTAAGGACTGTCAAATGGGTATATTCTTAACTAGATACCTTAATGGGTTTTTGTAAGTTCCCATCTAGCAGATAACTTCAGGAATTAATCACAGCACTTGGGATTAAAAGGGCGGGGTTCAGGGGAATGGTTCCAAATGGGTCACCGAGCACTCATATATTGGGTGCATGCCCATGCATTGATATCCTGGAACCCCCGGAGCGTCCCCACTAATCCCCCAATCAAAAGCCAAGCCTGCCAGTCCGATTGTTCATGGCAACACAAAGCTCGGATTGCATTTGGCCCGACTTTTGTGCAGCAGCTTCCTTGCGAGGATTTTCGCTATGCCATCGTACTTCAACTTCAGTCCGGGGCTTTCTTATGCAAAAATCCATTCTTGTTGCTTGTTATTCTTGCATAAAAGAAAATTGTTTATATAGCTGAGAATATATATTTGACAAGGAGTGGGGCGAAGGCGAAGGATACCACGAGGAAGAGTTGCCAGCGCATACCTTATGTTCTCTATTTTTTTTTTTGGTGGGGGCTGTTTCAAGAGGACAGACCAAGCTGCTTAGTCCTGGCTCTAATAGAGCCCTGCCAGGACTTTTTATGCTGCTTATTATGGCCAGAGAGGATTCCCCCCGAAATTCCCCCTCGCATCCGGTTTTCCTTATTTATTGTCATGGATATTTGAGTCGAGTTTTTCCTCCATCCTTCTGTGACTCGTGGATAATATACAATTTTTTAATGGCACATAATCACGTTAACTGAAAACTGTCGTCGCCGCTAACTTAATAAGCAGAAAGTCCAAAGTTCCTTGGGCGACGTTGGGCTGGACAGCTGGGCACGTTATGCAATTTAAGAGAATTATTTAAAATTCAACAAAACTTCTGAAGTGGGGCATGAAAAGTGAGCGGCAAAGTTTGCAACACGGCAACAACTTCACTCACCATGGGTCAGCATTGCAACGCTGGGCAACTTTTAAATTAACCCTAATTCAGAATACGCCAGCAGCAACTAAATAAAAATAAAAATAAAATGTAAATACAAATAAAAATGAAAATGGAAAATAAAAAAAATTAAAAGAGAGGAAAAGAAATGGTGGCCAACAAGTTTACAATATTCTTGCGCATTCTTCAACTTTAACAATTTATTAAATGGGTCAAAAGCCACTAAAACTTCATTTATCATTGCATGAGCAGGCACTGCACCACGCCCACCGCCCAGCCACCCGCCACGCCCCCACATGCCGCCCACTGCCAGCCAGCACGTCAGCCCGTTGAAATGCCAACAAATCGCAGAGACGAATGAGCTCAGCAAACTTGAAGCGTTTCCGGTATGCCACAACTACTTTTCTCCCCACTCCAGTTTCCTTGGATTTAGGTTGGGTATGCTGGCACTTCGGGGCAATTTGTCATGGAGATGGGGTCGTTAAAGACGGATCCCGCCAAATTTGCCATGCATAAAACCCAGTTTTAGTTTATTTGAGCTTGGTCTCATTTCAGGACTTAAGGATTGGATTTCACTGGCACTGATAAGTCTATCGATTGATCATGATAACCCGGCCAACCTTAATATTTCAGGAAACGAAACAGGAAACCCAAATACATATTAGGAAAATACTAAATATAATTCCTAATGACTCAATAGTTATCTAGTTAGCTGACTATCGGAACAAATCCATACAGTACTGCCATTATAATAATAAATAAATTTTAAAAAGAACAGAAACCCGGACCAATAAATTTTCTTACCTTACTAAAAAATATTAAACGTGTCCCGAATCTATAAGTCACTTCCATTAAAAATCGAATTTATTTTGACAATTACTTTCCGAAGTATCCCAAGGTCTTTAATTCCTTCCTACCAAGTACTTAATTATTTTACCATTGTACTGCACTTTACTGCAATGCTTAAAGTCGTCAACTGATGATTAAGTTATATAGAATTTAATATCGCATGAATGCAGAGATTATTTTTTTAGACCAGTCGTTATCAAAAAGGTTTAAATGTTACATTATTTTTTCAGGCTCTCACTGTGGTAAATCCCCTTGTCGTTCTGTGTTGAATGAACTGTCCAATTGGGACAGCGTGCTATTGGAGTTCATTTTTCATGTTTTATTTTAGTACCTTTATTTTTCAGGCTCTCATAGTGGTAACTAAAAATCCTCTTGACGGTCTATCCGTGGGATGAACAGTCCAATTGGGACGACGAGCTAATGAAGTAGTATCCTTTGGAAACACAAATATTAAGCTTCTTGTGGATCTAGTAATGTCCGGTCTTGGAGGTATAGTGGTGCGAATTGATCGTGTTGGCGTAGAATCGTTAAAAATAAACGTTAAACGCCTAGTGGGTCTAACTTGAGGCCTGGTCCATAAAGTCGAACGGGGATTTGTTGTTCCAACTGGAGGTCTTGTGGAAAAAGTGGATCCTATGGGGCGTCTTGTCCACAAGGTGGGTCTTCTTGTAGGGTTTGTGGGAACTGAAGGTCTTACAGGTGGCCGAGTCCATAAAGTTGGTCGATTAGTGGGTCTTTGTGTAGGAATTGTGGGTCGATTTGATATTGGTGGTCGGGTCCATAGTGTGCGTCTTATGGTGGGTCTAATCGTAGGTTGAACGGTGGGCCGCGCTGTGACTCTTACAGGAGGTCTTGTCCATAAAGTGGGACCCACTCTTGGTCGTGTTGGACGAACAGTTGGCAACGGAGGACGCACTGGTGGCCTGGTCCATAAGGTTGGTCTTATATTTGGTCTAGTTGGTAATAATCTTGTAGGATTCCGTGACCAAATCAGGAATCTTCGAGTAGTTTGAACTACAGGTCTTCGGGTAACTGGTGGTTTTGGGTTTCTTATGGTAGGTTTCTTTGTGATGTATACTCTTGCGGTGGGCTTGGGAGGTGGAATTGTTGGTCTCCTGATGGGTGGGGCGGTGGGAGGTCGTACATATCGCGGTGGTGTTGGCCTAAGGGGCGGTGGTGTTAGCCTGCGAGGCGGTGGAATCGGCCTCAGAGGCGGTGGTCTGGGAACAGGTCTAAGCGGTGGTGGAGCTCTCCTGGGACTGTCCTCTGGAAGTGGCACCAATGGTAGCTTCGGTGGTGAATAAGCCGGTGTTCCATTGATCTGACCAAAAGCCAAACAGAACACCCAACAAAAGAGTGCCAACGCAAGCCGCATTTTATTTGCTCGTCACGACAGACTGCTCCGATTTATATGGAATACTTTATAAAGACCAAGAACAAACACAGATGGTTGACGAAAGAATTTGTGCCTTTGTCTTTAGACTTCACTCGGTAGTTAAACGTTTTATTAAACATACATAATTACATGATTTCTTGCTTTTTCCGTCTACTTCACTTGACATTTTGGGTTCTTGGTTTTTGGGTTGGGTATTGTATTCTTTTGTATCATATGTATGCGCATTGTGTATAATACTTGTACATTCTTATATAAGTGTATATACCATTTATGAGTATTTTTGTCAATATATATATATTTATAGAGAGAGAGTTTTCTTTAAATATCGGCTCAACAAACATAACTGTGAGTGCAGTTGTACAGAATGCATAATACTAAGGTTCATCTACCCCAAAAATGTCCACAAATATGGTGCTGTACACAAGAACTAGCGTATCGTTACTAGAAAATATCCAATCAAATTTGCTATCAACAGTATTTAATAATAATGTTTACAGTATTTCATATTTTAATGTTTATGTATATCGAGCGAGAGATCTGCTATATTAGCTACTTTATCGTCGAGCTGAAATCAGGAAAAATATCTCTTAGGTACAGATACAGTTTAGTTTGCCTTTTCACTTTGGTGCGTCAACTTTCATATACTATATAAACGTATATCATATTTATCTATTTTATATGTTTTCTTAGGTATGTCAAAATATGTCATTTTGTTAGTATATTTGTGTAAAAATTAAAATATTCAACAGTTGATTGCAATGAGGCGGTTTTCCATAATATCATTCGTTACGTTTGTTTATCATTTGGTTTAATTTTTTTGGTTTCTCATCTCCATTTGTGTTTAAGTTTTAGTTTAGTTAAATTGGGGTTTCAATGCAACTACATATATATTTCATAGTACATGTTCCTTTAAATTACTTAATTTTGTTTTTATGTAATATTGCATAGGACAATTTGGAAATTTCTAACTCATGGAAGTGTCTAAATTTTTTAAATATTTGAAACCAAGAACATTCTACTTTTATCATCTTCGAAACATATTTTAATTGTAAAACAATTTAATTAAAAATAAGTGTTTAGTTTTTTCTTTACAAGAAACTCCCCTAACTTATTGGGAAACCCATACGGTGCGTTTCAAAGCCATAAGACAAGGGATAATCTAAATTAATACTATAAAATAGTATAGTGAACATCATAGTCATAATCAACTGCGGCTAAGCGAAGCAGCTTCCACTGCTTCCCGATGTCCTGTAGCCTTGAAACGCCCCGTATTCACATCATCTATTGGTGTTCCGTTATTTTCAATCTCTGATTAGGTTGCTTGCATAGTTGTCTAGGTACTTTATGTGTGATTCGAGGGTTAACCCATGCGTATGTGGGATTTGCTTTTGAGATCGCCCAAAAGCAGGCAACAAACTCGGCATGTTCATAACTGAAAACTAAAACCGGGTGAACAATCTTTGCCCGGCGACATGCAACTTATATAAAAAGGCCTATAAATATTATAGATCGGCACAATATACATATATATATCTATCCGTACACACACATATATTGCCCTATGTATATTGCTAAGCTGCTATGTGAAAATTCGTTTCGATTTCCCCCCCACTTTCCATCGACTGTAACCAATCTAACTCATATGGAATCTTTATGCTGGCTATGTGGCATGTCCTATATAAAATATATGTGTATATGTATATGCTATATGCTATGTGTAGATCGTATGTTGATTGCCCAACAAATCAAAATAAAGCAATGCAGTTATGCAATTCATATTGCAGGCCAATGTCCAAGATATGTTTGCGGTTATACTTTGTTCGTTTTAGTTCTGTGAGTATGAGGAATGGGCTGAATGCCGACAACGGGTTATCAGAGTCCCCGTTTACTGAGCGAATGGATTGTGCGGGTTGGCTCCGGGAATATCCAGATTGCCGCCAGTGGTCTGGTAGGTGCCGTATGGTCCTCCGTTCGGGTTCATCTCGTTCAGCCGCGAATTGGACAGAGCCCTCGGAATCGGATTGCTGGGAACGCCGTGCGGAGCCAAATGCGACGTCTCTTCGGCCACCTAAAGGGGATACATTTTTTGTTATTATCGATATTTTATTACAATATAATATATATATAATATCCCAGTAAAATCTCTAGATGAATTGGCGAATTTTTTATATAAAACCTTAATTGAAAGGATGAACAGGTGACTAAAAGTATGCAGTAATATGTTTTGCTAGAGTCCAGAAATTACACATTTTTCACAGCATACTTTTAGATTCCTTTAAGGTGTAAGTAACATTTTCTAAGTTCTTTCTGTAACTTTCCAATATACTCCCCGGTTGTTATTGATTTTTCTGTTAGCCCTGCTTATACCACCTTAATTCCCAGCCCCTCAACTCACCTGATGCGGATCCTCGGTGACGGGTATTTCCGAGATGAAGCCCTGCTCCTTGCGATAGAAGTTGACGAAGATGAAGAAGCCGAGGACGAAGAGGCAGGCGATGCCGTACCAGCGGAAGGTAGTAGTAGTACCGTAGTAGGTGACGAACATGCCGCCAATGATGGCGCCGCAGCCACGCCCCAAACCGTGATGGATACCCTGGAGAACACCCTGAGCCGAGGCTCTCAGGTGTTTAGGGGTATTGTGGGCTATATAAGAACAAGAAGCTGCCCACACGGCAGCGTGGGTGATGCCCTGCATCAGCTCAAAGGGTAAAACCATCCACGGGTTGGTCAGATAGGAAATATAAAGGAATCGCAACACATTACCAATCAGTCCCAGACACAAGACCTTGACATGACCAATTTGGGTGATCAGACGGAAGCTGAAGAAATAGGCAAAAATCTCGGAAACGTGATTGATCACAGAGGCCACACCGAACAGAGTGGGAGTGCCACCGTAGTCCTGCAGATGCCAGAACAGAAAGGTGAATATCAAGCCAATGCCAAAGCCCATAAACCAGGCCACGAAAAGGAAGGAGGCTGTTTTCAGGTCTTTAAAGTGGGTCAGCACGGTCATCCACTCCGGCAACTCCTTGGCCGTTTGGGCGAACACCTTGGACTCGGCCCCAATATGCGGCTGTGGCTGATGGCCAGCGGCCAGGAAGCTACTGACGCCACCGGCACAGGCACCCGAGGCGGCACTGCCGCTACCAACTGCCAGCGAGGGCAGATTCAGTTGGGCCGCCAACTGGTTCATCGACTCGTCCTCGGCCCGCTTGTTGGGATCCACGAACTGCGCCTGTTGCTGTGCCGCCATCTGCTCATCGATGGGATCGTACTTGAAGGTGATCTTCGAGGCGGAGATTATCGCACAGGTCATCAGCACCGAGAAGATGGAGAAGCAGATGTTGTAGTTCTTCTCCTTGTTGCCAGCTCCGCACGGGTGATTCGAGAACGAGGTGGAGTGATCGAGGGCGATGCCCACCAGGAACATGGAGATGCCCCAGCCCAGGGAGCCAAACATTCGCTGGTGACCGTACTTGTCCGCATCCTCGCCCAGCAGGGTTATCACAGCCGAATCCGCCAAAGTGATCGCCGGTGCGCTGAAGAACTCCCCAATGAGGATCACCAGCAGCAGCAGGAAGAATGCCTTCTGGATGTCCTGTGAGGGAAAAAGAAAATTATTATTTTATTATTTCTTTACTTTTCAAAGATAAAATCGTTGTGGCAGTTTCTCTAAGGTTTTAAAAACATACCTAATAAGTAGATCTTGAGATGGTAATATAAGAATATGTTAGCGAAAAAAATATTTTATAAATTAGGATTATATATTCAACATTAACCACAGCTATGAATATACTCTGAAGATAAAGCACTACAAATTGAAAAACTCTTAAATACATTTGAAAATCCCAACTTGAACGAAATTAGATGCAGAGAACTTATTAAAATTCTACGAGCCAAAAATCAGATTTTGTTCTAATTTCTCAATAACAAGTAAAAGTTCTAGGTTGTTCTGTCTATACAGATCTAAACTATATTTTTCGAAAAGGCCTATTTAACTCAATAACCAAAGTTATTAAGACATTGAGAAATTGGTCAATAATTAATCTACATATTTCCGAAACAGAAATTAAACTCAATGTCAAAAGTTAAGTTGAAATTGAGAAACGTAAATTAATCTAATTTTGATTAGCAATTTATTAAACTCTAAGATTAATAAGCGGAGATTGTATTCTTTAAGCATTATATTACTTAATATGTCTATAGGCTTTTCTTAATCTTAATCCAACTTTCTTTTCAATTGTATTTAATTTTCCATGGACTTACCGGAGTTCTGTACACCATCGAGCTAAAGATGGGCGTCACATAGTCCCTGTGGTACTTGTCGTCGTAGTTGCTCACAAAGTTGATATGGACCGGCGAGATGCCCGCATCGATCCTTGGCAGCAGCAAAGATCTCTTGTGCCTGCTGTGGGCTGCCTCCGCCTCCTCCAGAGCCTCATCCGCTGGCATGGTCCCAGCTCCCAGATCCATCTGCTCTGGCTCATACATGGCCGACAGATCTCGCTTCGTGCGAGTGTAGGTGAGCACAAAGTCCGTAGAATTGCGCCGCTCAATGCAGTTGATGGCCTCCGGTCGGATGAAGCTTAGCGGAATGGTAAAGAGGACCCAGCAGGCCAGTGAGCCCAGGAGCAGCCGCTTGCCCTGCCGACAACGATCCGCATAGGAGCCCCAGAAGGGGGCCGACAGGAACTCGACGAAGGGTCGCATTCCGACCAGGATGCCACACTGGCCCGGATTCATTCCCATCTGCTTAAAGTAGACGCCCATCAGGGGAAAAAGCGATCCGAAGGCGGCGTAGAAGAAAAAGTAGAAACTCTTCACGGGAATCAGCTCACGCTCCGTGCTGGCTCCGAAAAACATTTCCAGAATGTCCGAGTGGCCGCGAACTTTGTGCGTTGACTCCTTGGCCTCCGGATAACTGAGGGAAAGTATAACAAATTAGTAAGATAATAAAAATTAAAAAAAAGCATATAAAAAGTGTGATAAGTATTTGTTTCTCTCTGGTTCTGAAGAATTTGCTGTTCCATTTTGTCATGACTAAGACCACTATAAAACCACTGGAAAAGAATGCCATATAAATAATCCTATCAAAAGTGTGATAAACATTTGTTTCTCTCTGGTTCTAAAGAATATGCGGTTCGACTTTGTCAAGAATTCATGGTTAAAACCACTTACAATTTATATGAAAGCTCGGAATAGAATGTATTCAATAGAGTAATGGAGCTATCTATATTAAGATAAGTGTTTGATCAAGATTTTGAATATTTCTTTTGGGCCTTGTTAAGAATCCTCCCTTATTGTGTTTTGAATTAAATATACGTCCTCTCGACTTACAGATTGGGGTCCACCTCTCCGGTGGCCTCCACATCCACTCGTGGTCTGGCTCCAGGAGGTCCGTATCCCTGCTGCTGTTGCTGCTGCTGATTGCCGAAGTTCACTCCCTGGTCGTAGCCACCTGTTGCCGGCTGCTCGTAGCCGTAGCCCTGCTGGCCATAGCCCGCTCCTCCGGCGGGTGCCCCAAATGGATTGGCTGCTCCGCCGCCGCCACCTCCTCCGCCTCCTGCAGTGTAGGGATTCATTGTTCGCTAGTTCCTTGAACTCGGATGGTGTCACTGGATGGTCCTGCGTGCTCCTCCTCTGGTTGATGGTTTTCCCCTCTTGACTGGCACTTCCTTTCGGTCTGGTCTCTCTTGTCCCCGTTACAGCCTCATTATCATCTCCATTATCATTCGGCAGCTGTGGAAAACAAAGGAAACAATTCAGCATTACCATTGCATTGTTCTGGCTCACACACATCGACATAGAAAAATCGAAATGGAAGTCATTTCCATATCGCATGGTTTATAAGAGTGATTTAAAAATGTCCTAAACTATTTATACAAAACATATATGAAATCTAAACTGAATCTATTTATTTTTTGAATATATAAATTCAAATCAAATTCGATACTTATGACAAAAACATTTCTATTTGTAAAATCTTAAAATATTATTGCATTTGTTATGGTAGATGTTAAACTAAGTAAAAAGTCATAATTTATAAGTGAGATGAAAAACCCCATTCAATCCTTTCTTCATGATAATGTGTAATCCGGATTAATGCTTTTGTACCAGGCTAAGCTCAAGCGGAATCCACTCATCTAGTTTCCACTCAGGAATTCGAACAATTACTGCTGTCAACTACTTCCGTTTGACATTTCCCAGTTTCTTTTGACCACTTTCGAGTGAGCAATCAAATATTTTACTCTTTTCACTTGTCGTTAAAAAGAAAAACGAATAATTCTGCAACTTGGCAATGGCAAAACAAAGAAGCTCTGCCATTCACTCTGATTTATGAGTGAGCTCAAGCGAGTTGAGTGAATTGCTTTAGATGGTGAGCTTTGAGCGTGAGTAATTTCTATTACATTTTTGGTTGAGTTTACTGGTATCACACATACGCACCGTTGGCACATAACAAATGTAGGTAAATGGGTACGAGGGTGTGTGTGTGTATATGTGGGTTATTCTCTGTATATAGAGCAGACTTGTTGTTGCTACCAAAGAATATAAGCAAATGTGGGGTTCTTGTGGAAAAACAAAAGGTTATTGAAATTATAGGAAAGTAAGAAAAAATTAAAAAAAATATAAACAGTCAGCGAAATATACACTGTTTAAAGAATATAAAATATTGTTGTATACATTTATGTACAATGTACATATATTTACAGGGATTTGGTTTATTTTTTAATCACACCTTTATCTCTGTGACAGTTTAGATATTCGTAATCCTTTTCTGCAGATTTATTCCCCTTTTAATGGCTCACACGTGCCCACAAAAGCTAAAGGTACATATCACTCTCTATATATAGACAATTTTCGCACACTTCTTGAAGGCCATTGTCACAGGGTGAGACACTTGAGGCGAAAGCCTCCTTCAAGCCCTTGCCTATCACCCATGTATTATGTAAGCTTTTCGCACTTTTCACCTAATTATACGTATATTCATTACACACCAGAAATATTGTTTGGCTAGCTGGAAATTTCGGAACTGTTGGTTCTTTGGTGCTGTGAGGGCAAATGTGTTACGTGCGTAATCGATAAGCAGAGTTTCCTCGCGTCTGGCCTCTATACGAGCGTTTGGCAAGCTGCCCAAGAGTTTTCCAAAAGAGCCCCGAAAAGAAAATGTTGCGCTCAAAAGCGGACGGAAAAGCTCGCTCAAGCGCGTTCCGCTGTCGCGTGCGAATGTGTGTGTATCCAGTCTAATGAGATTTGACGCGGCCGACAGCAGGACTTCAAAGAGAGCGAAAGAGAGGGAGGGTCGACCTGCCAATGCGGGTGCGAGAGAGACGGAACGGGTGAAAGTGACAGCCTGGCGCCAAAAATAATGGTTTAAAATTTAACTTCCTGGTAAAGTTTTAAGCAAATTAATGGTTAAAGAATAAAAAAAAGCTTGATTAGCATTACTTAAAAAATATACTATTTTATAAAAAAAATTCAAATAAGGGGGGGCTTTAAATATGACTTTTTCTTAATATTAGTACAGATAAATGTGATTGAATATTTTTATTGTAGGGCCCAACATTTTGTAATATATTATTTTTCAATGTGGATGATTTTTATTTACTTTTTTAACAGCTTTCATATTATTTTTACAAGAAAAATGGTTTTATTTTTGACAATTTAAGTAAATCTACATTGTTTTTTTTTAAATAATAATCAATTAAGATTATTATAGGTATCCCTTTTAAAACTGCATCGACGAATTATCTCTTAAGTTGTGAAAAAGTGTAGGGGACATTTTAATAAGATTTGTTTCTAACCACTGCCCAAAATGTAAATTACCTAGCTATTACGCCGCCAATGCTTATATTTACCAAGAAAAGGCCAATTGTCAAACCGTTCACCTTCGCTACCCAGCGCTGATAAGCAAGATTAAAAGTCCCCGAGATGGGGAACCACAGGCGACCGCAACCAAGACGTGCCCGCACTACGAATCTCTAAATATTGCTTCGAAAGACTCCTATAAAAAGACAATGGAAACTGAAATCAAATCAGTTCGACTTGTTTACTTGAAACATAATGAAGTTCACCATCGTTTTCCTGCTTCTGGCCTGCGTGTTCGCCGTAGCTTTGGCCACTCCCGGCAAGCCACGCCCCTACAGCCCACGCCCCACCTCCCATCCCCGCCCGATTCGAGTGAGGCGCGAGGCTTTCACCGTCGAGGATCACCTGGCTCAAGCTGCTATAAGGCCTCCTCCCATTCTGCCCGCCTAAAGATGTGGACCCCAAGGGAAAATCCAAAATGAAATTGTATTGTGCCTTCAAAATTTAAAAACATTTCTTATCTCTGTTAAACAATTAATAATAAATACAACAATCACAGCAGCAAAATACCTTCTCATTTATTACAATGTCTTATCTAATAAAATAAGAAACTCTTAGGGGATTCCTAGCGCAATCCACTGATGCTGAGCGTAGAGCTGATAAAAATTATACATAGTAGAAAAAAGGCACATAAAGTGACGTACGAGAGACAACAAATCTAAGCGCAATAAATTGGTGACTCTTGTGATTCACAAACCGGTCTTATAGTAAATTCTTATAAGACTTAAACAAATTATCCAGATGGCTGCAGATCATAATGAATGGGTTTGTCATTTTGCAAAAAATATGGGCAAGCCCCCGAATAGAGAGCCGAATGAGTTGTTACGCTATTTCTTTATAAAAATTGACTGTTCTTTTTTTTAAGATTGAAAATAAAAATAACAAACAAATTAAAGTACTAAACTCGACCTAATTAGTAAATCGTGCTTGTTTACGTACATGTCATGTCTGTTTTGATTGTGATTATGTTTATTAAGCCAATCATTTATTTCTGTTTTTACTATTTGTTTTTTTTTAACATTTTATCAAGCCTAAGTTCAAATTTCTAATTATTTAAGTTTATAAGCTTATAAAAAATGTATTTTCCAGTGTAAACTTTTCGTTGACACTTCGAGTTAAAGTTTCCGCTCTTCTCTCTTTTGGGTTGAATCCTTTTTGCCTGCTCCTGCGCAGAAAATTCAATTAGAATTCGGTGGAAACTTCACTCAAATTCTCTCCCGGTCTCTTTATTTCGCTCATTAACCCCTTCTACCTCTCCAACTATATTCATTCCCTCCCCTAAAAACCAATCAAAGCCTATTGATAAAGCCTGACATCAAGTGAGAAAAATGATTGCGAATCGCTTATAACTGTCAAATACTGTCCTGCGCAAGATGATGATGCGCTCCTCCATCAGGCCACAAAAAAAAACCACTTGAAGATGCCAACTTAGCCCCAGAGGGTGAAATCCGAACAATGGAGCAACAAGTGGCGTCAATGGGTCGCACACCAAATGGGGAGGTGATGAGGTCAAGTAGCGCACACAAACAAACAAAAATGTGATTCACCTTTGATACTCAATGGGGAACTCCAAGCTGATAAGACAGGCAAACCGAAATCGGCCATCAGATGAATCTTGTAAATCACCAGATCAGATCTTTCCCCTTTAGCAAAGTATAAAAGCGGATCTTTAGCCACCTTTGGGCATCAGTTAGCTCCAGCAATCCAATCCAGCAACATGCAGAAGACAAGCATCCTAATCGTCGCCATCGTGGCCCTTTCCGCCTTAACAGAGGCAGTTCCTTACGGAAATGAACGCCGCTTTCCCACATCCCGCCCCATTCGATTCCGCCGCCAGGTGCTTGGAGGATCCTTGGCCTCCAACCCCGCTGGTGGTGCCGATGCTCGAGTGGATCTCTCCAAGGGCATTGGAAACCCCACCCATAATGTGGTCGGTCAGGTTTTCGCAGCTGGTAACACACAAAGCGGCCCGGTTACCAGTGGAGGAACTTTGGCCTACAACAAGTAAGTTTTCCAAGCAAACAGAAAAACTAATATCAGAAAATTCTTTTAACCCAAATCCTCTTTTCCTTTTTTAGCGCTGGTCATGGTGCCTCCTTAACCAAAACCCACACTCCCGGAGTAAAAGACGTTTTCCAGCAGGAAGCCCATGCCAATCTCTTCAACAACGGCAGGCATAACCTGGATGCCAAGGTATTTGCCTCCCAAAACAAACTGGCCAATGGCTTTGAGTTCCAGCGTAATGGAGCCGGTCTGGATTACTCCCACATCAATGGACACGGTGCTTCCTTGACCCACAGCAATTTCCCAGGAATCGGCCAGCAACTTGGTCTGGAGGGACGTGGCAATCTTTGGTCATCGGCGGATCGGGCCACCCGATTGGATCTGACGGGATCGGCCAGCAAGTGGACAAGTGGACCATTTGCGAACCAGAAGACCGACTTTGGAGCTGGTCTGGGTCTCTCCCACCATTTTGGTTAATCAACCTTCTTAGATGGATATAACAATTAATTTATTTTATAATAAATGTATGACAATAAATTATAATTTAAAATGCAAGTTTAACGAATCTTCAATTCTGTACACCTAGAAAAAGTACCTACAAATTATCTAATTACCTCAAAATCACCTTAATTGAAGAGGACTAGACCATTTGGGTATATTTCTATTTATCGGTTCTCCTTATTTCCTTACAAATTTATAGATGTTTTGTATAAGAGAAAAATGGATAAAAGAAAGGGTAAAAAAATAACATTCTATTGTATGAAAAAAGTATGACTAAGCAGTCACAGATCCAGGATTTGTTGGTGGGAGTTTTTTTTCAAACAACTTTTATGTTGCATACCTTTTCAATAACACATTTTAAGTCACTTTGCAACCGAGTGGGCGGATCTATCCCCCAAATCCCTCGTAGATCCGCGCATTGCTCAATGCCACTAAAAGGTATGTGAAGCTTATAAATTAGAAGAGGTATGTCGATATTTTTAAAACATTAAATACAAGTTGTTAAAGAATTTCGTAATTTTAAATTTGCGCTAAATTTCCACATTTTTCTCTTTATTTAACATAGCTTCGGCTTATTAAAAATCTATAATATGAATCCCATCTAAAGGGGAATCCTATGTATTTGTGTATGGGATTACTGCCAGATGCTCATCTCCAGAGGTGATAAGAAATTTACTGATTCCAGTTCACCCAAAGTCACGTTCAAGAGACAAATAAATCTTCTAGCTTAGGTTGTCACTTAAAATTTTTGTTATTAAAGGGATATAGTGGATATTCCCTTTGAGTGAGTACTGTAAAACTCTGTGTCGTCGCAGTCGATTGCGTGTTGATTGTGTACCAGTGATGAATGGTGGAACTGCAGGGTCCTTAGCGGAACTAAGAATACTGTAAGCCTGCCAAGGATAAGAGAGCAATAAGTAGCGCCAATGGATCAACAAATCGAAAAGGTGACATACACACCGGGAAAAAAAAAGTAAATCACCCATCAAAGATCAGCGGGGAAGTCCTAACTGATAACACAGACAAATCGAAATCGGAAATCAGATGAATCTTGTAAATCACCAGATCAGTTCTTACCCGTCTAGCAAAGTATAAAAGCGAATCTTTAGCCACCTTTGGGCATCAGTCAGCTCCAGCAATCCAATCCAGCAGCATGCAGAAGTCAAGCATCCTAATCGTCGCCATCGTGGCCCTTTTCGCCTTAACAGAGGCAGTTCCTTACGGAAATGAACGTCGCTTTCCCACATCCCGCCCCATTCGATTCCGCCGCCAGGTGCTTGGAGGATCTTTGGCCTCCAACCCCGCTGGTGGTGCCGATGCTCGAGTGGAACTCTCCAAGGGCATTGGAAACCCCACCCACAATGTGGTGGGTCAGGTTTTCGCTGCCGGGAACACGCAAGGCGGTCCAGTCACCACTGGAGGAACTTTGGCCTACAACAAGTGAGTTTCCTAAGCAAAAGTAAAAATATTATCAGAAAAGTTAGCCAAAACCCTCTTCCTCTTTTAGCGCTGGTCACGGTGCCTCCTTAACCAAAACCCACACTCCCGGAGTAAAAGACGTTTTCCAGCAGGAAGCCCATGCCAATCTCTTCAACAACGGCAGGCATAATCTGGATGCCAAGGTGTTCGCCTCCCAAAACAAACTGGCCAATGGTTTCGAGTTCCAGCGTAATGGAGCCGGTCTGGATTACTCCCACATCAATGGACACGGTGCTTCCGTGACCCACAGCAATTTCCCAGGAATCGGACAACAACTGGGCGTGGATGGACGTGCTAACCTCTGGTCATCGCCCAATCGTGCCACTACCTTCGACCTCACGGGTTCGGCTAGCAAGTGGACAAGTGGACCGTTTGCCAACCAGAAGCCCAACTTTGGTGCTGGCCTGGGACTGACTCATCACTTCGGTTGAATAATAGTCTATTGTATTTATATTTAAAATTTAAATAAAATTAAATAATTAATTAAATTTATCTGTTGAATAATCACTTACCAATAGAAATAAAGAAAACCATATCGGATTAAAGCAGGATTAAAATGATATTTTGCATATTTGTTGTTTACGGTTTTCCGTTTTTTTTCATTTTATTTTGTAGTTAATTGAATATTTTGCTTATTATACCGCACTTGCGTAAACAATTCGATCCCACTCAATGATTAATAATTTTGCTTAAGTTAGTTTAATGGATTTTGTTTTACTTTTTTGTGGCTGTTGTTGCTGCACCCGTTACTATTTTCACCAATGTCGGTTTAATTTTGTTTTTGCAGAAACATAAAACTTGTTTGGCTCGAACAAGGCTTCGGAGAGGTTGGAAAATACAAAAGAAAACTATGAAAAGTCTGCTAAGTATGCTGATATCATGTTTGAATTGAATAGTGGCATCTGCGCAGCGCTTACGACAACTTCTTGGCCTTCTGGTAAAGTGTGTCCACCACTTTACCCATGCTCTGGATGGTTTCTAGCACGCGTTCATAGGTCTTGTCCACGGGCGTCTCCTCGAAAACAATGAGTACTCCTTCTCCCTGATCCAGAATGCCGCTAAACTTCTTGTCCAGAATCATTTGGGACAGCTTCTTTTCCACCTGCGGCATGGGAAGCTGGATGCTCTCAGCAACATGGGCGACCTAAACGTTGGAAAAAAGGATTTTAATTAATGAAAATATGAATTTGATAGTCGTTTAAAGCCAACATACCTGCACACGGGAGTAGGGTTCAATGATGCGACACAAATTCTGCTCCAGCATGGTATCGTATAACGTGCCCAAATGCGCTTGTACGATCACATCTTCGGCCAGCTCCTTTTTGTACTCCTTCAACGCAGCTTGGAAGTCGGCCAGGGAACGTTTGTGTGAAGCCTCCGCCACCGATTTCATGGCATCTACGTCGCGGCCCGAGTAGGTAATGGCCTGTTAACAATGAAACGGGGTTAAAATGTATGTTGATCAATGTAACATTACCATTAAATAAGCTCTGGTCTTTAACTCTGAAGACTGTATTCGCTTAAGATTAATATGAACTTAGGGTTGTCTGGATTTTAGTACACTTTCTCTAAGAAATTAATTAGTAACTATTAGTAACTAAAGCCCTGCTAAAGCTTTTAAAATTGTAGGTGCGAAATGACACCAGCCTAATTGACATCACTTTTTCTAAATTATTTTATATTTAACAGTAATATAAAAGATTATTAGCCTGAGCTTACCAATTTTCCGCTGACGATCTGGTTGACATCATCGGACTGTCCCAGCATGATCTTGCACAGCAACATGTACTTCAGCGAGGTAAGGGCCTTGACGCTGTCCACGCTGTCGAATCCTTCGAAGGCCTCGTAGAAATAGGAGAAGGCGGTCTTGAAGTCGCGTTCATCGGCCGCATGCAGGATGCCCGACTGCAGATCCAGGGCGCCCTGGACCTTTGGCGGGCAGTAGATGGCATTCGCCGTGGTGCGTGCTGAGGTGAGGGCGGCCCTGGCCTTGGGCAGGTTGCTCAGTGCGTGGTAGGTTTTGCTCTCCAGCAGCTGGACCTCGACCAGGAGATTCTTGTCGTCCAGCTTCTTCAGCTCCCGCAGAAGTTGAGCGCCCAGAGCCAGGGCTTCCGTATACAGAGCAGTATCGAAATATAAGGCAATCAGACGAGCCTCCAGCGATTGGCGAAGGAAGGTGCGCTTCTCCTGTTTGGCCCACTCAATGCAGTCTTTACACAGTTGAACCTAGAGAAAAAACCAAAGAAGTTGCTAGAAAATTCAGTATATGGATATGATTTTTGGACCCACCTCAATGCCTGTGCCCGCGTCCATGTCCAGGAACATGTCCACCAGCGAACGCACCAGCTTCGCCGCCTTGGCCTTGCTGATCGAGCTGAGGAACGGGCGCGTCACCTTGATGAGATCGGCCAGTTCCTTGGCCTTGCCCTCCTGCTTGTAGAGCTCTCCCTGCTGCAGGATGCCCTGCTCCTTGATCCGGATGCGCTCCTCATCGTTCTCGGCGCCCTCCTGGTCGCGGACCAGCTTGTTCAGCAGCGAACTGTCCTGCTCCTCGCGATTCACGCTGGACAGCGCCTGTGCACGCTCGAAAAGTGTTGCTCCGGCCATCTTGCGACTTGGAATTTGGATTCGGACGAGATGCAGGCGCGGTTAAAACACGAATTTAAAAATCAATCAATCAATTAAGTGTGATTCAATGCAGCCACTATCAATGCGAGAATTTTTTCTTTGTTTTCGATCGGTTCCGGTGAGTATTTAATGCGTATTTGTGTGTTTTATGCTGACTTTTTCACCTTTCGGTCGTTGTTATTAAGCGCCAGTCACGATTAGAGCTGGTGCGATTTCGATAGGTAGGCGAAAGCGGGAATCGATAGGCCACTAATACTGAGCTAGTGCCCGCTATCGATATATCTGACATTGGCCTATCATGAGTAGAAGGAATATTTCAAAAATCACGACTTCTAAGAACATATCGATACGTATGATATCGACATATTGCCGTCTCTGTTTGTTTTGTTGCAATTTGCACAACAAAAATTTGTTTTATAGAGTAAACCCAAAATGGGCGAAGAAACGAGTAATTCTACGCAGAATAAAACCAGAACCAAAACCACGCGACCCAAGGCAGTGTATCAGTGGACCGTGAGCGATGTTCTGAAGTGGTATCGACGCCACTGCGGGGAATACACCCAATACGAGCAGCTCTTCGCACAGGTGAGTTGAGTTGGATCCCCAGTTCCAATGGGATTGGGTTACTGATCCCGATCCCCCATCCTCCACTTACCGCTGGTCCTCGTTGCCACTGCCTTCCTTTAGCAGTTCCGTCATTTCCGCACCTGAACACACAAATAGGAAAAATCCGAATACTTTTCCCTACAATTTGGACATTACAAGAACTGCCTACTGATCTTGTTTGGTTATTATGTTTTCCAGCACGATATAACCGGAAGAGCTCTACTCCGAATCACAGACTCCTCGCTGCAAAGAATGGGCGTTACGGACAACAGGGATCGGGAAGCCATTTGGCGGGAGATCGTGAAACAGCGTCTCAAGACAGACATCATGGAAATTCGGGATATGGAGAGGCTCAACATACACTAGGGGTAGAGATACGATTGGCACATATTTTGTTGTAAAAGTAGAATAGTTCGAAAGTGAAATATAGTTAGGATCAAAGATGCTATTTAGACAGAGTTATCATGTAAAGTTTTCGTTTAAGATCGCTAAAAATCATATCATAATTTATATTTTGGCTATATGACAATGCTATTCCTATTAACCAAGGTCCAGATTATTATACAATTTTTAATATTATCTTAAGTTCGTTTTTAACCATAACCTTATTTAATACTTCGATTTATGAATTAAAGATTACTTTAAGGAGAAAAGTTTTTAAATCGACAACATTTTTAAAATTTGCTGACCCAGAAAGCCATTGCTCCATTTATCCCTTAAAAATATGTTTTAAACTGAGAGACTAGTTCAATGTTTATTATTAGGAGAGTCATTTTAGAGTAGACTAAAGTAAAGACCAGAATATCATTTCTTTGAGATCACCGAAAGATGTTTCTAATATCAATCACTTAAAACGACCAGTTCCACATCGGTTCAAGCCTCCTTTTCCTGCTTGGGCGTGACCAATTGGACGTCATTGTCCACCGGCTTGGTGGTCACACTGGCAATCAATCCTCCACCCGATCCTGCCACCGCAACGCCACTGTTGCAACTTGTGGTTGTTATGACCTTGGGCAGCGAATTTGATGTTAGGATGTGTGGCATAGTAACAGTGCCATTGCCCATCGGCAGAGCGGTGGTAAACAGTAGTTTCGGAGGCTGCAGTCGTTGAGCAGTGGAACATGGAGAAGCAACAGGAGCCGGTTGCAGGAGACTCGGCAACAAGTTAAGAAGACGGTCGCCCATGGACTTCTCCCAGTCCAAACGCTCGCGTTCCAAGGAAAGACGATTGTGCTGGATCTCGTTGGCTTCGTTTTGGGAGTTCAGCAGCTGGCGGAGAAGGATTCTCATGGCTGAAGGGAAATAAACATTATATACAAATCGGTAAGGGATAATTGTGGTACCCACTTGTCATGTGCCGCTTCGTTTGCAAATCCTCCCTTGCTTTGTCCCTGCGGCTCTCCTCCTTCTCCAGCTGGACGTGCTGCTGGTGCTGCAGATGCTGCTCCTGCTGAAGACTCTGTTGCAGCTTCTGATGCTGTTGATGAACCGCTGCCTGAACCTGAGCTTGAGCAGTGGTCAGGGGCAAGGAGGCAGAGGACTTGCCCACAGCAGCAGCTGCGGCCGCCGCCTTGGCTTGCTCCGCATTGACCAGCACAAACTTGACTCCTCCGGGTGCGGTGGCCATCAGACCGGCATTGCTAGGCTGTGCCGGTGCTGCAGCCGATCCGCTAATCATCAGACGAGCGCCCTGATTAATAGCACTCTGTAGCAGCTGCAGCTGGGGAGCGGCTCCCTTGGCGGTTGTCATGGGACTTGGTCCCGCGGCAGCCGGCAGCTTGGATTGCATCAGGAAATTCGTGGGCACCAGCGAGATCTTGCCACCCTGCAGTTTGCTCGGCGTGTTCGTTGAACTCAGGGTGGTTGAGCAACCACTAGCCGTGGTGGTGGTAATGCTGGCCGGGATGATGACATTGGCCCCGGTGAAGGGAAGCAGGTTGCTGGGCTTGTTCCGCTGCAACATGTCAGCCAGAGTGGATGAAGAACTGGAACTAGAAGACTTCTCATTTGGCGAATCATCCGAGGCATCCACATCGATGGGCTCTTCCTTGGGCTGCGGCAGAAGCATGCAGTCATCATCCTCCTCCGGCTCGGGCTCCACTGGAGGAGCTACTGGCGTTGGCTCCACATCTAGGGCCGGCTCGTTTTTGATGCAGGGTGAAGTCAGAGCCTCGCCTATATCCACATCTACTTCGGCGGAGAGTTTACGGCGCTTCGAAAAGGATTCCTCGTTCATGTCCAGGTCGGACTCCAGGCAGCCAGCCTCCAGTGCCTTACTGTTGACTGATTCCTTATTCTTGGACACCAGGGCGGAGAGCAGCATGTCATCCTCCTCGTTATCGCTTTCGGACAACTCTTCGCCGTTTTCCAACCGTCGCTTGCGACGCTCGGCGTGCTCCTCTAGAGCCTGCTCCAGTTGGTATTTGAGCGAAGGAGCCGGCACCTCATTGGGTCTTACACTGAAGATGGGTCTTGTCATGATAGCGTCCATCTCGGCAAAGTGTTTCCAACTGGGCTCCGAATCGGTGGACTGGCCGCCGCACTCCTTGTCCTTCTTCAAGCGGTTATAGAAGCACTTAAGGTTCTTAATCCGCGTGGTAATCTCCTCCGGCGACCGGTGGTAGCCGTACTCCTGCATCTTGGCGGCCAGTTGACAGATCACGGCGTGCTTCTTATGAGTGGTGATGAGGGTTCGCTGCAGCTTAGGATCGCCCCACAATTGGATGAGCAGTTTGGTCTCGTCGGTGTCAAAGTTGGGATTGCGCCCGACGAAACTGTGCTTCTTCGAGGAGCTCTGGCAAGGATTTGAGCCACCATTACCGACGTTATTTGTGATATTTGCTCCAGGATTCGGTGTAGAGGATGAGCTGCCATTAGCATTGCCAATTCCGGCCTGCGCTGGCGATGCTAAGGGTATCGGATACGTGGCCGCCGCTGCCTCCGAGCGGCGCTTCTTGATCCTTGCACTGGACTTTAGGCTCATGCTGCACTGAATCTGGAAATCGAGCAGGCAGGAGAAAATCAATAAGGCCCAAAAATAGGCAAATCCGGGAGCCGCTGCCTCCGTCTGCAGGCGAGTGAAAAATGAGCCAGGCAAACGGCGCAACCGCGGGCAACCGAAATACCTGAAATCCACCCCTAAACATCACCCCCGCCGCCCGGAAAAATCGGGTCTAAGCCAAGTGCATTCACCACCCAAATAGGCAAAAGCATGCGCGTTGGCTCAAAGCAGCTCTCTCGCTCTCTCTCATCCTCAAAAGGCATGCGCCAAGGGGGAGTTATTGATTAGTAACCCCCTAAGTTTCACGTTTTCCGCTAACTTACCCAAAGAAAGCCCTTGGTTCCATGAACCCTAAGTAAAATGGTTTAGGAAAATCCCCTGCCTTGCACCAAAAATCCTGCTAGAGATGAGAGTCTGGCGATTTAAGGCGGCGATTTAGGATGTGGACACGAGATCTGCGCATCACACTTTGTAGGACATGCGCAGTGAGAGCGAGCGAGAGAGCGAAGGCCATGGTGGCGGGGGTGGAAAGAGTTCGTTGCAACGAAGCAGCAGACTTTGTGAGAACAAAATTTAACCTACATCTGTTTCTTTATATTCAACAATTCGTTAAACTTTTAAAATTAAAAAAAAAAGATAAAACCGACTTGTCTGAGTTGGTTTTTAATTAACCTTAAATGACTAAAATTTTTAATTTTATTATTAAATGCCATAAAACTCTAAAATAAAATATTATGTATTTGAAAAAATTTACTTTAAATTTAGTTTGATGTTCGCGCCAATTCGCCGTCTGTCGGCCAACGTCTCAAAATCGATTTCCTTTCCCAAATCTACAACAGTTATCGATAATTTGGTATTTGAAATGGAAACTGTTATACATTGAGCTATGCCATTTTATAAACAAAAAGATTTAGTTATTCGGCAATATACAGGATCCTTAACTATTTTCTATCTGAACTCAGTTTTTAAAAGCAACATTAAAGATCCAAATCAAACTGGTATATTTTGTTCTACACTTTGGTATTTTCAGCTCCATCACACTGCTGTCAGCTGTTGCTAAAAATCGAGTTTGCAACACAAAAATAAAAAATGGTTCAGTCCAAGGAGGAGCTGGAGTTCATCAAGCGCAAGCACGAGCACACCTTGAAGCTGCGCGCCGAGTTCCTGAAGCAGAGCTCCAATCCTTACCGCCATGCCAGCGGCGAGGGCGGCACCGTGGTAAGTGGGCACGCCAATCCCCGGCTTGGTTATGTCATCATGCTGGTAAAGATCCCATCAATCCTCTATGCCCATTTCAGTTCGATGCTGGATTAGCCCGCTTCCAGGCGATGCGTGTCGCTAACTACGAGCACTTCAAGCCCACCGGCAAGTCCTTCCGCACCGGCCTGTTCGCCGTGGTCCTGCCCATCGCCCTCTACGCCTGGGCCCTGAAGGCGGAACGCGATGGACGCGAGGAGAAGTACAGGACTGGCCAGGTGGCCTACAAGGATCGCCAGTTCAAGTTCATCTAAGCCCGACATTAAGCCATTGATCTTCGATTTTTAGTGGAATTAAAAGGAAACCCAAAAGAAGCTAATGTTAAGTGAACTCGGTTTATTTCTCCTCCATCTGCTTGTCGCGGGCGATCACAAAGTCCTCGAACTTGACCATGTACGTGGTGCCTTTGTGCCAGTGGGCGGTGACTTTGCAGGGCTAAAAAGAGAATACCATCATTAACCATAATCATTAGTTTTTCTAAGTGAGGACCTACAAAGCCGCAATTCGTGAGCACGGCTTCCACAATGCCAGCCGTGAAATTGGCACAGTTTAGCGAGCTCTTATCTTTGGGCACACTTATAAATGTATTGACCAGGGGCTCCTTTTCTATGATATAGTAGGTCCTTTCATCATCGTTGGCATGCTCCAGCTTTTCCGCCTCCTTTCCGAAGAGATTTTTCCACACCGTGGTCTTCACAAAGAGCAGCATTTGTGTTAGCTTCGTTTCCCGCTTGGAACTCCGCTCCCTCACGAAATATAGGTCGATGATCCGAGTGCCCACATCCTGACCCAAGTCATGGAGCCTAAAAATATAATTTCGTTAGAATCTTTATATCTAAGACCTAGTATTCACTTCAATCGAAAAACTAGGAAGTTTTTTTTTTATACAAGAATGGCAAGTGGAGTATCATACGAAAGACAGTTGGGATTTTTAATTAAAGTGAGTACTACATAGGTCTTAAATTTTATAAAACCCAACCTGGTTTGTAACTCTGGTACTGTAAACACTCGACTCTGCGAGTACTGAACTATTTCGCTGAAGAGCAGTGCCACAATACTCTGGGAAACCTCCGTTTTCCCCTTTGAAAGTGGTCTATCCAGGATGTTGCTACGCGGACGCATTGAAGACATTTTCAGGGCCTCTAGTTTTTCCATTTTCCTGATAGTTACTAATAATAGTTATTTATTTTTCCAAAACAAAGCAGGGAGTGTGCCCGCCACGTTATGTCCCAGAAATACCACAACGCCCCATAAAATGCGTTACACCTACGTTACGTTCAAGCACCCTACTTTATATAACAGAAAACAAAAAACGTATAGCTGAGTTGTAGGGTGTTATACTAGCACAGACTCAAACCTAAATTAAAATGAAACCCAACTTTTCAGTATATTTTAGCACTGATTTTTGCATCGGCTGATGCTCTAATCTCGCATCCGGTTTCTGTCTCGGCTGTTGTTTTATCTCGCATCCGGTTTCTGTATCGGATGATGTTCTTAGTTCGCATCCGGTTTCTGTCTCGGCTGATGTTCTTATCTGACATCCGGTTTCTGTACCGGCTGATGTTGTTAGTTCACATCAGGTTTCTGTCTCGGCTGATGATCTTTGTTCGCATCCGGTTTCGGTCTCGGCTGATGTTCTTATCTCGCATCCGGTTTCTGTATCGGCTGATGTTCTTATCTCGAATGCGGTTTCTGTCACAGCTCACACAGATGAAGTGTATCCCATGGGAACAATAGAATAAAATAGTTTAACATTTTATCTTTGTAAGACATTTGCTCTTATTTCGTATTTAAACATTTAATATCTTTACTATTTTAGTCACACTATCAAGGTATTTTGATTGATATTTTTGATTTTGTATTTTATTATTTAATATAAATGTATATAAATATAACTTCAATTACTCGTGTCTGATAATGAATATTCCATTATTTTCTTCTTTGGGCAACAACAATTTGTTTTTGTATAAGGATCCACAAACTCCACTTTAGACCAGTGATCTAGAGAACACTGCTGTAGTTCGGTTAGGTAATCCTCAAAGTGACTGAAACGGATTTCACGGGTATTGGGGCAACCCACACAGTGGTAATAGCTGCACTTTAAATCGTATATCCAGGTGCGATGGGGCTGAGGTTTTGATTCTGTGATGTATTCCTCAGCCAGGGTGTCATTGCCCTCCATGGCAGCAATTTTTTCTTCATACATTCGCGACGTAATTTTCGAAATGGATTCGTTGATTTCATGGTCCACTTCCGGTAGGGAAATCAGTTCCTTTACCAACTGGTGTACTTCCTCGCGCCGCACATATAGAAGATACCACAGCGGCATCAGAGAGAACCGAATACAGGTCACTAGGCGCTGCGCATGCGCACTTCTCTTGCTCCAATCGTGACCCAGCCATCGAACAACTATAAAAAATACCTAAAAAAAAGGACATATAATATAACTTCAAAATCCCCGCATTGCCCCACCTCAATCTCCGTATTTACACAGATTCTATCGGAACTGAGCAAGAACATCAAGTGGGATAAGGGCAAGTCCAAAAAATCTTTTGTAGCCACAAAGGTAAGCAAAAACTTGTTGATTCTGGTCAGCATCACATTACGAACCACATCCAAGGCGGGATGGTAGTGCGTTTCTACATACAGCATACAAGCCGAATCCTCGTCATAGTATTGCGGATCATCGAAATACTGCCAACAATGGGCCTGCAGATCGCCAATCCTCAGATAAGTTGCTGCTACAAAGATCTCCACAATATAGCGACGATCCAGGACGGGGTCATCGCTCAGCATCCATTTGTAGATGAGCATAAAGGCCTTCTGGGAGACCAGATCCTCGGGAAGAGTCACCAGCAGGGGAATCTGCTTCAGCTCGCTGAAGAATCGGGAGTAGACCTGGAGAACAATGAAGTGACAGTTAAAGTACATTTTGTTGATATCTATTTGCACAGTGGTCTTCAGATGATTTTGTATCATATAGCGAAGGACCGATCCGAGGTGATCCTTTGGCGGCTGCTCCATTTTTAGCCAGCCCTCAACATCCTCGAAATTATGACCAAATTCGAAGAGAGATCGATTCAGAGACCTTGTCGAACCGTCCTTTGAAAATCCGTTAAAGACCCGATCCAGTTCGAGATCTTCGGTTTTGGAAACCAGCCGCGTCACCGAGTTCAATTCATCGCCAGAGCAAGGTTTCTGGGGATTGAACTTTGGGCTGGGATTTGGAAGATCGGTGAGTACTTAATGTTTTTTTAGGGTTTTTTAACCTACTTTGTAAACAACACACTGCAGGTTAGTTCCTGCTTCTCATTATTGTCATCAGCTGGCAATTTTTGCCTCATTAGCTCGTCCATTTTGATAGTGTTTTCCTGTTTTGTATTTTATAATAAGCCTGCTATAATGCTTATAAATATATCAAAGAATCGCAGACTCGAATCTTTCACATTGTTTATTAAATTGTGTTTTATTGTTGGTATTCTTTTTTGTTCACATTTTCAAATACATTTATATGAATAAATATATCATTTATATTACTATTTTCATTTTTCCATTTCTGTAATGACACATTTCTTTTCAATTTAATATGAGTATATGCGGCTATTTTAACCATTTTGTTTATTTCGATGTGAAATAATAAAGGAAAGAAAAATAGCAAAAGGTGAATTTTATTTTAGCTAAAGTAATAATTTCGCCTTTGAGCTAGTTTTATTGTGTGTGAGGACGATTGTAATAATAGTTAGCTATTTTCCGTTGAGTAAGCGTTTAAATTAAATAATATAAAACGTAATTGTAAATTATGGATACATATTTAACATTTTGTACTTCTTGTTGTTGAGTGTTTTGTTTCCGTTTGATCGGTGATCGGTTCATCTTTCTTTATTTTTTCAAAATTTGTCATTCCAGTTGACATCCGTTTTCAGATCTTGGCTTGTGTTTTCTGAGGTTTGTATCAATGTGTTTTGCTGAATTTTGCACATTTAATAACAATTGCCGTATTTAGTTAATTTTTACAATAATAATGTTGCTTTTTAATGTGTTTTTTTGCACAACCTTTGCTTATTTTTAATAAATATGCATTTTGTTTTAGTTTTCGTGTGAATTTTTCTTTTATGGTTTTTTTCTCACTGACTTAGTACAACAATAATTATATAGTAAGAAATAAATTAATGTTTTTTATTATTTTTATATATATATAGCTGCATATATGAGTTTGTTGATTTTTTGAAAACACTTAAATTGTTTTGTTTTATTTTTACCCCTTTGCTCAAATGCCTTTTCTTTGGGCAATTTTATAAACCGCCAAAGTTTTCAGCATTTTAATCAAAATTACAAATTGCTTTGCGTTCTAGAATTATTTAGTTGCAAAAGATCTTCCAACGCGCAATACTGCGGTCTTTGTTTGTCCATTGACTAGCCAATTCTAATTGGGTTTCTTTTGCATTCCTACGGTTGAACTAAAGTTTTGGAAATCATATATTTCGAGTTCTTGGCAAAAGGAATATTTTGAATCTTCATGAGCCCTAAGAAGAGACAAAAACATCCTTTTTAAAAGGAAACCAAAAGGGTAAATAGTTTTTAATTAAAGCTGATTTAAGTAACAATTGGCTAGAGCATTGTGAACTCACAAAATTTGAGCATTGCCGCGCAGTCTTTTGCTGGAGGATTCGAAAACAATTTGTAATTCTTTTTCAGGTTCAGAGAAGAATGTTCTGACAGCTGAGTCGTCAACTTTATCTTCTTTTTAGTTGCATGTGTCAATTCTTTTTTTATTCATTTGCGCATCAGGTTGCCGTTTGTTTGAACTTTTCGTGTGAGTTTTGAGCGCGTGACATTGATTAACAAATTGGAATCGCGCAGAGAAAATCGCATTTAAATATATTTAGTTCTCGTTTCGCCTTTGCCTTGGCCTTTTAATACTGTTCTCCAATTTCGAATTGTAAATAAGCAAGTGTAAAATAGCAAAAGACCCTAAAAAACTAAAACTTAAACAATCATTGTATAATATTTTGATTTTTAAAAAAGTGTTTCAGTTACAAATAAAAACAAATAGCCCGTTTTTACAAAACTATAATTAAGCGAGAGCACTAAACGTAAGTTACAATTTATAAAGTATATTAAAAATATATATATAATCCTTCCTGCTCTTTGTATATACAATAAATTATGGCAATTCAAATGGAGTATACCGAAATGATATTAAAAGCGAACTAAAGACCCACTTTCGCAAACTTATTTTCCAGATGAATTGTTTTCTTTTTTCATTCTCGTATTTTACAAGATTTTGACAAGCTGAGCTTTTCAGTGTTATCTTCAAATCAAGGAAAGCATTCTTTTCTTCCTTGTCTACCTTTAGATATCTTCGAAATTTCATTGTTTCCGGCGAAAGTCAGTAGTTCTGAGTAATTAGTTTGCGTAAATGGGTCCTCAAGCTGTCACCATAGATAAAGCCTAGAACAGCAAGCGTCCGTAATCGTTCTGAGCCGCCTTCCTGCCAGTTGACTGCATTAGATACGGCGGCATCTGGTGCTGCGGAGCACCCAAACTGTGTGACAGCTCCCAGTTGTAAAAGTGGCGCTGCGATTGGGTCTGCGATTGCTGCGACTGCCTCTGCTTGGCGCTCCACGGACGCTTGCCGCTGCTCATTAGACTCTGCTCGGATTGGTGGTGGTAGTGGAATTCGCTTCTGGGCCTGGGGTCATCGTCGTACTGTCCTTGCAAGCGGGCCTCCAAATGTCAGACATGCGGCTTGTGCTGCCCGCCGCAGAGGCCGCAGTGGATGCCCGCCAAGTGGCAGGCGCGGAGCGGCGGATAGCACCACAGGCAGGGCACGAACAGTGAGAGGATCGCCAGGCCCAGCCAGCGCTTGCTGCAGCCTGCCTCGCCAGCGCTGCAGTCGCACGGATGCTGGGCCGTCTCGCCCTCGGCGTCGCTCATGCAATGGTAGATCATGCAACGGGCACAGCCCATCCCGGAGATGCACTCGTAGCCGCTGCGAAAGGGATCCGGGGCATATTCGCAGGCGCCCCGTCGATTGAAGTCCTCGCTGTACAGCTCGTGGCAGTAGCGGCATCGCAGGCGCGTCTCCTTCTTTAGTATATCGGATACGTTGGGCTTGTGCAGTGGTTTTCCCGAGCCCCCATCACGGCCGGCCATCAATCCTCCGCTGCCCACCGTCTGGGCAGCCGCCATTGCCTGCGCCGCCTCCAGAGCATTGCGCTTCTTCAGCGCACTGATCGACTCGCGTCGAGCGTTGAGCACCTGCGCCCCCACTGGCTGGTCCACCACCGGATAGTTGTAGTCGTGGTGCACCGCCGTCAGCGTTACGTACGAATAGTTCTCACTGGCCGCGATCTGACCGGCGGTCGCCGGAGATGGAGCTGCAGATGCGGGCGGTGCGTCTGGCGGCGATGTGGTGGCCGATGTTTTGTCCGTGGATATGTAGTGAATGGGCGGCGGGGGCAGCTTCTCCGAGTCGGAATTGTTGCTGACGCTCTCTATAAGATGAAGAATAGGATTAGTTATGCAACTAAGGTTTGTAAATTATGACCACAAGTGAAATCAAGTCCTTATATGTGTAAATCTTTCCTATTAAATACTCATTTAAGATCGATTCCACTTGCTTTGTACACCACTAAACAATACTTACTGTGACTTTTCTCGCTGCCCTCGGGGCTTGAATGGATCTTTTGTAAACTCTCGCTTTCCACAGGTAAGTCCAGGGTCATGAATACATCATCTTCGCCAACCGAATCATATTTGGTTAACGGCGGGCATATTATCGTCGGATTCGATTTGGCCAGTCCTGAATAAGGTATAAAAATGAGACTTAGTTATGCGGAGTATAAAATTATATTATATTTAAGCACAGATCAAAGTTTTTAAAAAAGCGCAAAGCAGAGAACATCTTAAAGTTTTATAAAGCAAAAGAGTTTAGAGAGAGAGCGTGATATCAGAACACATCTATGTAGGTGTAGCAAGGAAATCGAAAAGAACTCGTTGAAAAGTAGTGACCTATTGGTGTGGACTAGACTATACTATTCACATATATGTGCTGGGAATTTTGAAGTGATCGAGCACAATGTTCCTTCTTCAAAGCAAACAGCACACATCAACTAATTTAAGGTACGTCCCGATTAAACACTTACCAATTCGATTGAAATTATAGATTTAAATGTTTGGTTGATTTGTTGATTTTTGAAACAAATTTGCAATATTCCAATGTGAGTTGTGTGTGGTGATTTTTGATAATTGGTTTGATTGTATTATTTGTTTGATGTTGTGGCAAAAGTAGAGCATAAGACATACAAAAAGTTATATATTAGTAACGAAAGCAATACTAAGGCAGATAGGCTTGGAAGAATCGGAAGAAAGATCGAAGTGATTTTTGCATGAGTTGGAAGAAAAGCAGGAATCAAGAGGCAACTAAAGCGGGCTGACAAAAAGCAGAGAGAGATGGGATGTGCAAGCCGGTCATGCAACTAGTAGGTAGATGGGATCAGCCATGGGGATCCGGGCAGGATTTTACCATCGATCAGCTCGTTGTAGGCGCGCAGGACGCCCTTGTCAAAGGCGCGCGCATCGGCGGCCGTTTGAAATGTGAGTCCGTTCCGCTGCTTCCCTGCGCGCCAATGATGAAATGTGGGCATTACTTTGTAATACTTCAGATCTCGATTGATCACACAGCTCAAAATGACCTGCCGGGGATTAAACCATTAATATTCTATCATATCAAATGAGTCTAATATTTCTCCACTCACGCTTTGATCGGATATCCTCTGCCCGTAGATGATGTAGTCATGACCCGATGCCAATGGGGATAGCCTAGCCCGCTTCCGGATCGAAACGTTGGCCAGGCCACCCCCGGCCAGCGGTAGCCAGCCCTCGGTGCTCTCGTCTCTGGTCATTACCTGTGCGCGTACTGTTACTAAGAAGTCGCTGTGAAATAGAACAGATCGAAAGGTTTCATTAGTTTAATAATAATTTTAAAAAATATTTTATATTAGCTGGACTAATCAAAAATCACAAGAAAGAAACTGTTAAAACTAGGACTTTTGCTTGGTATTATATACTATATAAAAAAAACACAACCCTTTGTTTTAATTTTCCTTATAGGCTTACTAAAACTCAATACCAGATGAACTCAAAAACAATCCCACCTGCTCTTCCTGCGTTTCAGGCTAAGTTTTTTGTAGGAAACCGTAGCCATGCTGGAACCACCAATTGTTTTTATCGAATGAGAGCCATCGAAGTTTCAGAGCTGCACCTATATCTTCGACCGGATAACCTACAAGTGCCGCTAATTTGGCTAATTCAATTTTTGGGCCTGTCAAGGAAGCCTTAGCAAGGATACTAGCTGCCACCTGGCCATCAGAAGCGACTGATTCATCCAAGCGAAAGTGAAAAACCAATGTCAACTAAAAATACCATCAAGTCCTTCGGTTTAAAAATATAAGCTCAGGGCAAGAAGCACTCAGGAAATATATGTGTTGGAAACCAACCCTTTGTGGGATAAAGAAATTTGTAGAACCAAAATACAAATAGTATTATTTAGAATCGTCATCCAAAGTTGTAAGGTAGAGGTAATTCGTAAATTAGGGTTGCCAAATCATTTCATTGTTGAAAATGGAGCCTGCAACTTCAGTTCTAGGGGTTTCTCTTCCTCGCCTTATGAATGGGGCGACATAAAATGGAGTTTTTAACGACCTGCGCACAAGATTCGCATAAATGGATTGTGCTTGAATAAGGACAGAGTTCCCGGGCCAATGTATGGGAGTTACTCAATGAAAAAAGCTCCAAAAAGGGAGTTGAAACTCCACTGTGCCAAGTGAATGTGTGTGTGTGTTTCATTTGAACGGGGAGGGGGTTGCGTGCATGTAAGTGCAACGGTATGCGTGACACATACACATGCTTGTCCTAGTTTCGCTGGATTTTACAGAATGAATATTTGTCGCGACGTCACCGGGCCTCCGAGTAGCCAGGACATGTCAAGGACTGGTCCTCCTATGATTTTCATTCAGCTACGTCAGCCTAGCCAAGGATTTTCGAGGCGGTGTGTGAATGAAAACCGAAAGAAAGCCAACGGAACTATCCAGGGTCAGAGCATAACGCATAACGGGTTTTCATTGAGAAAGAGAGAGTCGTCGCTAACGGTTCACTCCATTTCGATTTAGAGTTGCCACCCAACCCATAGTCATGTTTTCGAAATACCAGGGTGTAGTCAAAGTAAAATAAAAAAAACTATACAACTCCACCAAACATTAAACATACATATGTACTTTTATAAATATGGAAAGCTAGAAGAGCCTGCCCCAAGCCGAAACTAAAAGTCTATCAATATTTGGAAGCTCTCCCTTCCAGTCACAGCGCATGCGTGGGAAAGATAACGTTAGAGAGTCACGGTGAGCCAGAGAGCTCGCTCCAGTTATCTGTTTCAATGTGTGTGTGGGAGTTGTCGTCTATAAATGATCTGTGGCTAAACTTAAATCAACTAACTAACCAATTTTTCGATTTCTAACCAACATCCAATTCATGCCCGTCTGTGGGGCCAACTTTGGTGGTTACTGGTATTCCCAAAACATTGTTGCCAACTGAATGGCTTGGATACTCCCACACATACACACTCATGCACCCACACACAGAGGCTGCAGCAGAAAAAGATGAATGAACAACGGTCTGCGTGTGCGTATACGTCTGTGGCTGTAGTTGTGTGCACTCCCACACGAAAAGTCGGAGAGGCGACACCACAGTACAACAAAAAAAAGTTCCAATACACAGAGCCCCTCTTTAAATAGTCGAATAGTTTTGATAGCTCCCAATGTCTAACACACACTCCCACGTATTTGCATACAACCACACATGTACACATCCACATCTGCCCTGTCGCGTGGTCACGAATGTCCCGCTTACCGTTACATTATTCACATGCCAATCAATTTACAATGCAAAATTGAAATCGAATGTTGTTTCCGCTGCGACAAGAAAAGCAGCAAACAGGGTGCTTCTTATAAAACTTAGTTTTTTTGATGCACCAAAGAAATAAATTAAAATTCTAGCAAATATATTAATTTTTCTTGTAATTGTAAATAAATAAATATTACCTACCTACAATCAAAATAAGACAAACGGCAGCACTTAGTAAGTAAAAATCATTGCCTACTTTCTGGCGTATTCCTTGTTTAATATCTTCTATCCTGGCTAAATTGCTAAAAACTATTTGTCATTACTATGCTGATTTTGTTGAGTAACAGAAATAATTTTAATAACAAAGAACTTAACGGGCTTGGAAATTTTAATTTGTCTTTTGTTTTTTTCCTTAGTAAAAACATTTGAGAAATCATTGCCTAACTTTAAGGGAATACAAATGACATTTAGAATGTGGGTTTTCGAGATCTTGGTTTAGACTCTATAGATTTTTTTTTATTATATTATTATTATAGTGTTACGAAATGTCGATTCAAATAATGCAGTGATTGAGTTCAATGCCCTCTTTAGGCACTAAACAATTTAATTCGTTAGGTAAAATACTGTAATAAATAAATAAATAAATGTTCCAATATTATAGAGCTGCTCCCAGTTGCAAATATTGTTTTGAAATATGTGACACCTAGTAGTCTGTGACCCGAAAAATATGCATAACCACTGGAATATTCAACGCAACTGTTAGGTCTTTAAAGAGTGATTTTATAAAGACACTTTAGAAAATTATAAAACACAATCCAAAGCATAATAATGAGCACCCCCTATGCGAATTTGTGTGGGGGCATGTCGCATATCAATTCATTATGAGGACGGTATAAAGAGCAAGACATGAATGAAACTACAGGAACCTTGGGCTCTATGCTTTTTGTTCTTGTTGCGCAGGCTTTTGCCTTATACCCGATGTAAGAACTAAAAGAAATAAACGAATCGCGGGGCGAAACAACAAACGGACAAACACAAAATGACATCATTGTCGAATAGAATTTAAAAAGCGCCAGTGGCGCGAGGCAATAATACGTGAGTAGTCGTAACAACGGCAATTATTGGACCCAGAGGCGAACGGAAAAGGAACCACACATGGGGGCGTTCCATTTCATTCATTAAAAGTGTCGACAGACAATGTGGAGACTTCAATTCGACCAGACAAATGACTCACGGTTCTTCATTCATTCGGTTGTCCATTGAGGAGAAGAGCCCGTCGGTCTCAATTAAAAAGCATTCAGTAAATTGAAAAATGTTTTTCAGCAATCAGCTATCAATTGGAGCCAATTAATTGGGGCACGCCAATTTGTAGCAAGCAATTGGTAGCCATAAAAGCTGGGCTTAAAAGCCAGTCCTTAGATCCAAAAAAGGCAACCAAAGTGTTGGTTTTGTTTAAAAAATCTAAAACTTTTTAGATATTACCAAGTATCCAATAAGTTGGTAACTTTGATGTTCTTGACACTTTAAAGCTTCACTTGAAAGGTAGCGTAGAGGTCTGGCTATACAAATTAAATGCAGATACGATCGAACTTCCATAACTCTGCCACCCAAGAGATTCGAGTTATCTATTCCCAAAAAATTATTTACACTTATAAATGCATTAAGTAACTGTAATTAGTTTAAATACCTATTACACCACGAAATACAGACATAAATACATAAAATTATTGGCAAAAACTGATAGGATTCTTATTTTAAGTCTCTTATTATAATATTGATCGTTTAAAGTTATGAGGAAACTGGGGAATCAAATTATGCTGTAGCTATTCTAAGAAATTTAAAATAATCATATAAACCAGAAATTTTCACATATCTTTTGAAAATAAAAACTCCCATTTATTATTTAAAAAATGTGTCATTATGGGTAACGTTTACTGTTATGTGTATTTTTCTACAAACATTTCATATTTTGGTGATTCACAGAAATCTGTAATGGTTCCGGACCTAGCTGGTTTGAAAATTTTATTAGCTCACAAATTATGGAACAAGTAATATTTCGAAGATATTTTGGAATTAGACGAGAACGTTTTACAGCATTATTTGTTGGTGTTTTTTAAACATACAGTCGAAAATTTATAACTCGAACAACAAGCTGCCACCAAAATATGAATGTTAGTTACGGCGAGTTACGAGAACTTTAAAGTATGATGGTTCTACTGTAGTTGTGACAGTTTGTGATCGATTATTTGGACTATCGTATTGTTTGTTCTCTACACCTGGTAAACTCACCTTTCATGTCCTTCTGTCATGGTTCGTTATCAGAAAGATTCTAATATAGCAGCGTATAGTGTCGGTGTTGTTGTTGTTGGTGGCGAAATACACCATGATTAAAGCATAAAGACATTCAGAGCTGCTGCTGCACAAACGTTTCCAACGAAAAAAGGTAATCAGACGACAACAACAACACCATAAACTAGCCGATACTCTTAGACGATCCTATCCCACGTTGTTTGTTGTTGGTTTTTCCTGTTGTTGTTATCCGACTTTCAAAATATCTCGCCGATCTCCAGTTATATATATATATTTTTTGGCACAATTTTGGGTTCGGGGTTTTACAAACAGTTAGGGGTTTTTATTCATTCACTAAATTGAAAAGAGAGTGGGAAGGGCAGCAAAAGTAAATAATTAATTTCGGGTTTTAGCGTTTAAAAATCGAGAATCACTTTTACTTTTCCCAAGTACACAAACACAGAGCCACTTATGTGGGCGTGTAGACAAACACAGTGGAAAACTTCGCGCACAGACACACACACGCGCGTACATACACGGATTTTTCCAAGCAACAAAAGATGTAACAGATGAAAATTGAGAGAAGGAGAGGCTCAAATTTGGAGTCTGTATACGTTAAAAACTCACTGATTTTCCTTTTTTTCCGAATGCAAACTTGATTTAATTTATTTATGTTGATTTTTCGGACCGTCCATTTGTATCGAGCAGCGTTTTCGTTTTATTAACATAAAATTTGCAAAAGCGAAAATTCATTCATACATTTCCACCAAGCAAATCAGTCTCTCTCGCTCTCCTCTCTCGCCCTATCTCTCTCTGGCGCACTCTCTGCAGCTTGCGCAGAAAGTTTTTTGGGCGATTTCTCCATGTGTGTATATGCTGCTCAGCTTGCTGTTGCTGCCTTTACATATTTACATACGCCTATACATACTGCTCACTAAAGCTACATATTTTCACCGATTTTCCCAAAGAAACTGATTTGTTTAATTGTTAACCGCAGCACATTTACAACTACTGTATGCGTTTCCTTTTGTTCTCGCTTTCCACTGGATCTGTATGTGTATTGAAGCACTACTTTTTTTGGTACTGTTAATAAGGAACGAGAGAGAGAAAAAGAGTAGAGAGTACTGAATAGTTTTCCTATTTTTTCGCATTTAAAATATGCAGCTCAGCCCTATAATTAATTTATTTAATAACGCGCACACATATACGCACACACGCACCCACACAGCAGACGCAATGGAATATTGGGTATTTTGTGAATTTATTTTGCACCAATTTCAATAGCATTTACTTGTGCTGCTCGCGCGCCGTCTCCGCGAAAATTGTGCGCTTTCCGAAGGGGCGTTATTAACAATTTGCAGATATTTTCACAACAATTAACATTTCCGAAAACAAACGAAGCGACGGCGAAAAAATTAGGAGGCGAACAGTGTGAACGCAGAAACATCAACGAAATATACTTCTTTATGGTATTCCAATTTTGGAAATATACTAAAAGTATTATTTCTAATTGCGCACCAGAGCTCAGGGTTGCCAGATGGGGAAATTGTTATAACCCAAATAAGGTCAAACTAAGAAATAGTCCTCAAAATTCAAACGACCATTTAATTATCTCAGAAAAGTCTTACGGCAAGCTTTGAAATCAAAATAAAAAGCTTCCGATGATGAAAACAAAACTATTTTATTAATTTGATTACCGTTTATTAATAATAAACAATGAATAAGAGCTCTCTTATTTTATAACAAGTTTTAAGCAAACTTGTACTAGATGGAAAATATGCAACTATATCATCTGTTAACTGCTTTTAAAATCAATTTTTCCAGTGTCATTTTTAAATGTTTTATTTAGGCAAACAAGTAAACTTAAACTAAAACTTAAACTTAAATTGCAGTTGCGGATTTTACATGAATTCTTATTCTTCTTATTTTTAGCTAATTATAAGTACTATCCTCTAATGCAAGTTTTTATAAAAATTATCAGAAAGAACTGAATTGAAAACAGGTTCCGTAAATCTAGGTTTTTCTGATTGTTTTGCCCAAACAATTTTGACTCAATAAATAAAACAATCTATCTTCTGGTTAACGATCAAGAGAAAAAGTTCTAAGAACTTCCCACATTTGGCGGAAACGTGTAGATAGCAATCAGGTATTTGTTATCACACTGTGGTTTCGCCCACGTTTGTTTTTAGAAACATGACCCGGTACAGCTCGTCCATACTGCAGGCAGGATCCTTGATCAGGCTGCTGGCCTGGCCGAGAACCAACGTTGATGGTTCTTTTGTGGCGGGAATGGATAGAATCTGGCAACTTGTCTTGAAGAGAAGCGGAAAGTGCTCACGCTTTGAGTGCCACCACTCGAGCACGTTAAAGCCTTCAGTGTAGGCCATCTGAATGGCCTGGTATTCTCGGATTTCCTTGGCAATCCTGTTTTCCTGGCAGTCCACGGCGACAAAGTCCGAAAAAAGATCATCGACCGGCTCAATGTCGCGCTCTCTGACCAACTCGCCCTCTCCTTTAATCAGGATTTGTTCCACTCGTTCCGGATACTCCAAGGAGCAGTAACGCTTCATGAACTCCTGACAGCTCCCGATCGTCTCTTCCCGCTCTTCCTGGCGGAACTGCAGAAGTTTGTTGGTGGGCGGAAAGAGAAAGTGGGCCATCATATGATATTTGGTGATGTGAGGCATCACCATCCAGTCGAAGTTGTCTATCAGGGCTCTTTTAAAATCCATTTCCATTGCATGTCTGGACTCCCCGGCACAGTACTTCCTCAACCGATGGATGTGGGGTATGACCAGGTGCAGGGTTGGACTCGCTCCACTCTCCAACGTCTTGTAGCACTTTTCAAAGTGGACCAGCAGATTGTTAATGGCCACCAGACCGGCTATTTCACAGCCTTCAATCACCTTCTCATCCTCGTTGGCAATAATCCCCCAATTGGCCTCCAGTGACTTCAATATGTGTTGGATCTCGACAAGGCCTGATGACGTGGGCGTGGGCAGCACTCCCAAGGCAACCTGCTCCTTGGCCTTCTGCAACAAGCCTCTTAACTCGCTGACGTCGTTAAAGGACTTTTCCACCACTCTATCGAGTACGGAACTGAAGCAGAACACCGTTTTTCTGCCCTCAAATACTGTTTCAGAGCTGGCTCCGTACACAAAAATTGGGTCATCATCGTACAGATCACACTCTAAAATGCTTAGGGAGTCCTTGATCAGCTTGAGGATGTAGGTACCTGAAACTACATAACCAAAAACATGTTACAAATGTCAATATATGGCTAAATGACATAATAGTATTCTAAGTCAACTAATGATTCTTGATTTACCATTATATGCCCTCAGAGTATAACCTAGAGCATTTACCTACCTGTAGAGGACTTGCTCCTGGGCACATTGCTCAACCCCAGCAACTGGGTGCATTTGCGTCCCTCCCGGACGTAGTGCACGGTGCTGGTGAGGAAGAAGCTGTTGGCACTGGAGTGCTTTTCCTCGGCGATGGCAATGCTGTAGCCGTTTGTGCGGATGCTGGACATCTCGGAGCGGACCTGCCCTAGTTTCTCCTGGTACCAGTTGTCGATGTTCCAGGCGACGACTCCCGTCTCCGGCAGCAGATCATCCGCGCAAACATTGCGCCCGTACTCCGAGCCGATGTCCAAAATAAAGGAGACTAGTTTCCGGAGCCCCGTATCCTGGACAATGTTGAAGGGTCGGCAGTTGCCAACGCACCACTCCATCACCGCCTGGGTGACCTTGTCGGTGGCCTGCTCCTCCGTACTGGATCCCTTTGAGCTCGTGTTGGGACTCTCCCTTTTCTCGTAGCTACTGCCCAGGGGATCCTCGACCCTGTAGCTGACCATATTCCTATAGCACTTGTGGCGCACCATGTTCGAGGTGCAACCATGGTACTTCAGCAGGCTGAGGCAGGCCCTGCACATCACTATGTTCTCGAGGGCGACGCCACTCTGGTCCTCGATCCTGGCGAAAACATCCCAGACTTTGCTGCGACTCCGCTTGTTGCTTATGCGCAGGGCTCCGGCTTCTATTTGGGCCTTTATAAAGTCCTGGCTGTAGGAAGCTCTCGACATTTTACCTAATTTAAACAAAGAAATCACTTTCGGGTAGCAAATGATTCGTAAAATGATTCAGTTGGTAAACTGACTCAATTAATGAGTTGTTAATCGATGAGTAATACTGTTATCGGTATCAGCTAAATCTGAGTTCTGAAATAAAATATGAAAAAAATTATGGAATACTATTAAAATAAAATGCTGGACTAAATTTAGTTGAACTAAGTTAACATTTTTTAATAAATAATAAAGATACACATCAGCCACCTTGCAATTTTCACACCCTGCCTGCTCGCGTTTACCAGCACTGTTTTGTGCGTGACTGAATTTTCGTGAGTTTGATTGTATTTGTGTGGATTTATATTTTGGTTTGTTTTGGATTTGCAAACCGATTTCCAGCAAATCAACCAATCCGCCAATTATGCATGTGGAGAAGAAATCGGAGCTACGCAGCCTCCTAAAATCCGGCGACAAGCGATGCAAACTTGTGGAGCCCCGGAATACGAAAAGCTGCGTCTGGAGGTTTTTCAATCTCGTCCAGTGCGACGATCGTATTGAGCCCTACGCCTGCTGCAAAACCTGCGGCGATCTGCTCTCCTACAGCGGGAAAACCGGAACCGGGTCCCTGCTGCGCCACCGATGTCTCCACTCCAACAGCAGTAACGGTAAGTTCGGGATCCAAAATCTCACGCACGCCCTTCGAAATCCATTGCCACGCGTGCTCCGTGCCGTAGAAACCGAGCACGGATCAGTGCCCGCTGCCATCGCTGCCATCCACGGGTCATCGGTTGTGGGCAGCTCCTCCGTTTTGGCGCGGGAAATAACTATAAATTCTAGCCTGGACAGACCCCGAAAATCCCCTTGAAAAGGGCTATAAAAAAATGTACAGATACCGAATTCCCCTCAGCCAGTGTTTGCACTAAACGCTATTAAGTAGGATAGTCAAAATTTTGTATCGCCATTTTCCCTTGAAAAAAATAAACATGTAAAAAATGGTTATCTTAAAATTGGATACATTTATATGTTTGTCTAAAAACATTTCCTTTTATTTTTGTTTTCCACCTTTTTTTTGTCGCCTTTGTTTTCACCCCTATGCGCCGGCGTTTTACAACACAGTTCCATTGAGAACTTGACAACACTGGCGCCAGCAACGCTAATATCGCAAAAAGTCATTTTGTTCTGAAAATTTCATTTTACGTAGCAAACATTTAAACAAAAACGATTAAAATGCCCAAGGGTCGCGTGAGCAATGTGTGGCAGCACTACGATATTAACGAGGAGTGCGAAAACTTTGCGATATGCCGCTATTGCGGCAACAATATATCGCGTGGTGGCATGGCCAGCAATTTGAAGGGCAACAATACAACCAATTTGTGGACGCATTTGCGGCACAAGCATAGCGACGAGGTTCTGGTCAGCCCGGTGCAGCAGCGTCCCCAGGCGCGGATGATCCCGATCATCAAGAAAGGTAATCTTCGGGAACCCATACACACAACATACCTGGGCGCTCTTTCTTCGTTCTTATGGCGGGCTATCGACCCCTTGGGACGGCGGGAAACTATCGTCGACGTCCATCTCTGGATGATATTTGTTATTATTCGACTCGGGGCAGCTGTGTTTATCAATATGTATCGTAAAGCAGATCTCCCATCCTTTGATTGCAGAGAAAACTGTGCGGATAACCAAGGCCAAGACGCTGAGGGAGCCACTGCGGGTGGCCAAGCCGAAGATCGAAACCAATGTGGCCAGTTACCTGGGCGAGTCCGGTGCACTGCCCCAGAAGTGGGAGGAGTACGAGCAGAACGATGAGATCGGCGAGGACATCAAGGACATCATCTACAGCGAGGATCCCCTGTGCTACAGCCCCATACATGTGATGGAGGACGAGGGCCTGGAGCAGGGCGAGAAGCAGGTCACCATGGTGACCCATTCCAGTGCCTCCGCCGCTGGGGGCAGCAGGACCAGTGGAGCGGCTTCGGGGGTCCAGGCCACTGTGGTGGCCTCCTCCTCCAGCTCCACCAACAACTCGGCCAAGCAGCTGAAAAACAACCTCGAGACGTCCATTGACCGACTGACCACCGTTAGCGAGCAGCTCAGCTATATCATTCAGCAGAATCACGAGGAGGCCACCAAGGACGATGACTACTATTTCGCCCTTAGCCTGGTGCCCGTCATGCGGCACTTGTCGCTCAGTCGCAAGATGTACGTGCGCTCCAAGATCCAGGAGATACTGTTCAAGGAGAGCGAGGACTCTGTGCCCACCAAGGATGAGTAGGCGACACCCCCCCTTTACATTTAACCACAGGATTAAGAGGACGAGGAAAGGAACGGAAACAACAGGGCATCTCTGCATGCCTTTAACTAGGTTAAACAATTATA